AGTATTATTATTATTATCATTAGTATTCTTATTCTTTTTCTTAATAGTATTAGGATTAGTATTATTAGTCTTCTTCTGCTTAATATTATTAATAGTGTTCATATGCTTATTATTACGAGCATTCTTATTATTCGTAGTATTAGTCGTCTTCTATTTGTTATTATTCGTGTTATTATTATTATCAGCATTATTATTAGTAGCATTATTAGTATTATTGTTAGTACTATTAGTAGTAGTAGTATTATTCTTCTTCTTATTGTTAATATTAGTCTTATTCGTATCAGTCTTCGGATTATTCTTAGTATTCTTATTCGTAAGATTCGTATTAGTATTAGTATTATGCGTCTTATTGTTCTTCTTATTCGTCATATTATTATTAGTAGTATTCGTAGTATTCGCCTTATTGCTCTTATTATTAGTATTAGTATTGTTCGTCGTATTAGTAGTCTCTTTATTATTACTATTATGAGTGTTCGTCTTCGTCGTATGTTTCTTATTTGTCTTATTGTTATTCGTAGTATGTGTTATGATTCGTCTTCTCATTACCACTATTATTATTATTTTTATTTTGCGTATTATGATTCGTATTCTTCTTCGTAGTACTAGTCTTCTGATTCTTCTTAGTAATAGTCTTATCCTGCTTATTATTCGCATTAGTCTTCTTATTAATGTTCCTTCGTATTCTTATTATTAAAAGTATTATCATTCGTATTATCCTTAGTCTTCTTATTAGCATTCGTCTTATTATTATTATTATTATTATTATTCCTCCTCCGCCTCCTCCTCCTCCTCCGCATCCTCCTCCTCCTCCTCCTCTTCCTCCTCCTCCTCCTCCCTCCCTCCCTCCCTCCCTCCCTCCCTCCCCCCCCCTCCCTCCCTCCCTCCCTCCCTCCCTCCCTCCCTCCCTCCCTCCCTCCCTCCCTTCCTCCCTCCTCCCTCCCTCCCCCCTCCTCCCTCCCTCCCTCCTCCTCCTCCTCCTCCTCCTCCTCCTCCTCCTCCTCCTCCTCCTCCTCCTCCTCCTCCCTCCTCCTCCTCCCTCCTCCTCCTCCTCCTCCTCCCTCCTCCTCCTCCTCCTCCTCCCTCCTCCTCTCCTCCTCCTCCCCTCCCCTCCTCCTCCTCCTCCTCCTCCTCCTCCTCCTCCTCCTCCTCCTCCTCCTCCTCCTCCTCCTCCTCCTCCTCCTCATGTTCCTCCATTCTTTTTCCTTGAGAATAACTCTTCCCTGTCGCACCCCGAAGCCTGTCGAAAGGGCAGGCCTGGCATTCCGCCTGAGACTCCCTAACCGCTTATGATCCTGGAACCTGCAGCACTTGCTCGTCCCTCCACTTTGAGGCGTCATCGTTTTCAGGAAGTATCAAGCGGGAGCCCCGTTTCTGCTTTGAGAAGGCGATGTTGAATGCAGAGTCAGCGAGTGCTCTCCATCAGTCCCGCCTTGTGTGGAGTTTTCGGGGAGCTCTCGAAGACGCTCCATTCACCCTCCACGGAACCCAGCACCATGCCATGACAAGCTGTGCGGTGGTGTGTCCGGTGCTGTTGTGCGATGCCATTATTTGCGTTGCGATGCATTGTGATGCCGTTCTTCACTACGCAAGGCCACGCCATGTCATGGCATACTACGCTGTGCCGTGCTCTTTTACGCCCTGCTATGCCGTGCTCTACGATGCATCGCGCACCTTCTCGCAATCATTGCCCTGCTCGACATCCGACTGTGCGAATAGAGAGGATATTTACGCCATGGTAAGGGATGGAAGGGGGGGTAGGACGTCAGATATGACGCGAGCGCACCTAGCTTGTCCCTACTCTTGAATTGACCGAAGTTCCGTAAAGGTTTTCCCGAAGTGAGAACCACTCCAACGCGGGCGACCGCCGGGGGCGACCCCTCGCCGACGCCGCCGAGAGCCACCTTGGCCCTCGCCAAAAGCGGCCCAAAAGAAGCAGTCATAGCAAACTTCCCGACTGACATCGGGAGATGGAGGGACTCCTGGAGGTGCCAAGACATCCTGCCTGCGAGTTCTGCCATGGCGCTAAGCGCCAGGTCATGACTCGGTGGCCCGGCCAGGCCAGCTCTCCGCTGGGGCCTCCATCCCAATCTTGACAAAACCAAAGCTTCATACGTTGCTGCGCCGCTGCTGCTGCAACACCACGGGTGGCCCACGGCCGAGCGGAGACCATCCCGCCATACATAGGAGCGCGGGCCCAGCCATGCGAGGAGACAGAGAAACCCAAGGCCGAGGAAAGAATAAGCCAGGTCCGCGTGTTCCACGCCCATCCCTGGAAAAACGCGCGCGCGCGAAACTGCTCGGCGTCCCAGAGCAGGCTCAGAACACGCAGCCTGCTGGCCCCTGCCAATTCGGATCTCACCGGGGGCATCCGAACGGATTCCGTCGGCGAGCCCTTCTGGGCGGCCCAAGAAGAGCCCCCGCCATCCCACAGTCGGCCCCCCACTCACGCGCGCGACGCTCCTGCGCCGCCGGACTCTCAGCGCGGCCTACGGGGCGCCCAGGGCCTCCTGCACTCTGCGCGCGCACTGGATGAACTTCGGGGGACCGACCGCCGACTGGCCCATCGCTGACCACGCACCTGGCGTGGAACAGCGGAGAGGCGCAGCGCAACGCTCCGTCGCGTAGCAGAGCGCAGCGTCCAGGGCAAAACGCGCCCAGCCTGCAGGTCGACACTCGAAGAAGCTGGGAACACTGACAGATGCGCTCACCATAAAATGGTGCCAGCATTGGGCCCCCTGTCGGGCCCCACCAGAGTCTTGGGGGCCCACGGCTGACCCCGCCAGTCCTTCTCCAACATGCCTTTATGGGCCCCAAGACAAGTCCCCAGGGAAGGGAGGCGGGAATCACGGGTGCCTGGGAGGAGGGGCCTCTGACCTTGGGGCGATCCTCGGGGCTCCCTTCGAGGATCCCACGGGCCTTCTTGGCCCCGCCCTCCACGGCCCCGTCGCAGACCTGCCGCCGCCTCTCAGCCGCCGTTTCACGGTCCGAGAAACGAGCGCCACCCCTCATTCGCCGAACAAATACTGAGGCGTCGAAGAACACGTCGATCGCCCCCCCCCCGTTATATTTCTCGCGCGGGCAACAAAATTGCACAAAACTGGACGCCGCGCCGTCGCGCCATCTTGCCAAGACTTACGGGGATGCCATCCGCGCGCGAGGCGCCCGTCAACAACTGGTCGACCAGCGCGCAAATATTGCTCAACTCGAACTCTGCTGCCCCCGAGTGGAGGGGCCGCAATGCCATTGGCCGATTGACGACCGAACTGAGGCATCTGCGAGGCCGCCCACGCAAGATTGCCCTGGCGCCCAGGACCTTGGACACGGCAGCATTCGAAGGAAAAGGAGCGGGGCGCACCTCCAGGGAGCCCACGACCAGACGCCCAAGCGACGGGCCCGAGCTCCCCCCAGACCCCGGCGCAAAAAGAACCGCAAACAAAACATCGACGAAACTCGGGGCCCGCTCTCGACCACGCCCCTAAAGGCGCCAGAGATCCTCGTCGACTTCCCTCGGGCAGGGGAGGGGGGACTTCTAGCTTAGTGACAACATGATCGTGAGAAAACGGGAACTCGAAGGGGCCCATCTATTTGCCGGGTTGGGAGCAGCTCCGATCATCCCACACCTTGGCCTGAGTCTCCTGAGCAAAATGACCCCACGCGGGAGTTGGCGACCCGCCGACGTAGCTGGGATCAGCCAATCGAGGACCAAACTGAAAACAAACGAATCCACGTTTGGGATCCCACCAGCCCCTTGGGAGGGGTTGTGGAAGAGGAAAGAGACCGTCCCTTTCCTCTTCCACAACCCCCCCTTTCGGGGAGGGGACACCCCCCCTCCCCGAGGCTTTTTGGGAAGGATCGCGAGGTGTCGGAAGCTCATTTTTCGGCCCTTGGGAAGGCAATTTCTGCCGCCCCCCACGAGGATCGCGGCCCCCGATAGGGGGGCCTAAATCGAACGCCCCCCCATTTTGACTGACCGCCTCCAAGATGGCCAACAGAGGCCCTCCAGGGCTCCCGAGAGGCCCCCAAGAAGGCCCAAAGAGCGCCCCGAGAAGCTCCAAGAGGCCTCCAAAGAGCACCCGAGAGGCCCCCAAGAGGCCCCCGAGCGGCCTGAGAGCCCAAGATGACCTCCAAAATGGCTCAAGGTAGCCCAAGCTGGCTCAAGATGGCTCCCAAGACATTCCAAGAAGCCCCAAGACCGCTCCAAGACGGCTCAAAATGGCCACGGAGCCTCCCCAGGAGGCCGCCGAGAAGCCCAAATCCTTTGACTATGCGCGTCTCTTCCTCTCTCCCCCCGCCAGCCTCCATGTGAGTCGTTTCTGGACGGGCTGGCGGGGATACTTTTTCGGTCGCGGGCGGACGCGGATTCGCAGTCGCCGAGTGAAAGGTCCGGGCCGCTGGCGGGGATACGCGAAGCGTCGAGAATTACCCCATCCGACGCTGCAAATAAAGAAATGTCAATGTTTTTGACCAGGTCCCTCAAAACGCCCCATGGAATGTTGTCCTGAAACTCAAAATGCCCGGCTTCGAAGTCCCCTCCACAGGCCGCTGGGCATCCATAGGCTGTCAAATATGTTCCAAGGGCCCTCGAGAGCGCCATGTTGCGAACCGTGAGCCCCATCGCCACCGTACAATGAGACGCTGTACATACATGCATACAACTATACACACACCGCCACCGCTTTCAACTATTTGAATTTGATGAACGCACTCACCAGATGACCCTGTATCAATCCGCGCCCCCCTCCACTCCATGCTAGATGGCATCCTGCAACAAAGATCGCCACTCCCCTGACGGTCCTCCTCCTTCTCCACGCACGGTCCGGATAGCGAAAGGGCGCCAACCTTGGGCCTCAACAGATTCCATCGTCAAAGTTTGACTTTGACTACGAATCATTGTTGGCTCAAGAGAAGATCTGGCGACACAAATCCAAGCGCGTCTCCTAGTGCCCCACGAGGAGGCACTAAACGTGGAAATGATAACTACCAATCTCTGGGCGGGCCGATCAAAGCCTGCGGGGCCGCCGCCTGGCCTCTGAGCGGGACCTCGCGGCGGAACGTCGGAGAGAGGATCGCCCGAGCTCGGCGGCGCCATCAATGCAGGAGACCGCATTCGGCGAACCCCCCTTGCTAATCGTCGGCACGTCTGGTAGTACATCCACCTGGTACTGCTGCTGCTGCAGACGAGTTTGCTGCCTGACGTTGCCGACGGAACGCCGCCTGTCTTCCCCGTCTTCCTGCGTATGAAATTCGCCAAGATATTGCGGGCCATCTCTCCTTTGATACCTTGCCAATGCCTTTGCCTTCATCGACGTCAGACAAAACATCCGCGTCAGAATCGTTCAACTCAACAGGCACGGGCGTGTAAGCCGCCGCTGTGCTAGGCCGAGCTACAGGGGCCCTCGAAGCCGAAACGGCTGTGGGACGTTCTGCTGCCAGGCCTTTGACGGCCTCGAGCTTACCACCGGGAGACTGCCGCATCTGTTGGGTCTCCTCATCAAGCTTGCACCTGCTGCTACAAACCGAAGCTTCTGATCTGATGACGGAAAAGAGCAGCTGAAAGCATCATCAGAAGGAGCCGAGATAGCGATAGGGACGGTACTTGCCAGGCGCTCAGCTCATTCCAACTCATTTCCGAGGCGAGTGTGGAATTCTAACTCTGCGACCTGCTGTGCTTGAAATTCCTCAACCGCTTCTTATAACTCTGCCACCCTGTGACTACAAGACTTGAGCTGTTCGGCCAAAGTACCTGCGGGCAAACCAACTGTTCGGCCCACAAGGCCAAAGTACCGGCGGGCAAACCATCATCACATTTAGACTTGACACCGTCGGGAACCCCACGCGGGTGCTCCACCTGCTGCGAGTCCAACTGGTCTGCGAACTTGTTGCTCGCGCCTTGGATGATCTAGTTGAGACAGTCTGCAACGCCCACCTCCTTGGCTGGCGTCTCTCGGCGATACCGCGGCTGCTGGGGCTGACGCTGATTATCGGGAGACCTCAGCACACGTGGTCCCCAGGTCTGGCGGCCTGTCCAAACTCCAAGCTGCCGACTCTGCCCATGCCACATACTTTAGCTTCTAATGACCAGGATTGCGACGGCACCCGCATGACGAGCAGATGACGTTTCCTTTCGGCCAAGACCCATCGTGCGACATGGACGGTGGTGCGAGCAGAGCGGAGAAAAAATGGATGATCCACCTGGGGGGGCCAGGTGAACTTCAGCCAAGGGCGAACCGGGCGAATTGATCAACACTGGCGACGGACTAGCAGTATCCGTCATGTTACCGCCTCCTCCTTCCTGATTACTTATTCCTCCTTGTTCCTTCGTCCTCTTTCCTTCCTCCTCTGTCCTCCTTCCTCATCCTTCCTCCTTCCTCCTTCCTCATTCACCCCCTTCCCCCTCCCACTTTCTACGCATGCCACTTGAAACTCCGTTTACTCAGTCCTCCTCCCAACTCGACCTCCTGTTCCTCTTCCTCCTCCTCGTCCTCCTCCTCCTCCCCATCCTCCTTGTCCTCCTTTTGCTCCTCCTCCTACTCCCCCTCCTGATTACAGAAGTTTAGTAGCAGCGTGCTTATTACTGGTTAGCCGTACGATGCAAACGACAATGACACTTGATACAGGCACTGGTATTATTAATAGTCTGTGCATGGCGCGTACTAGTAACAGTATCATTGCTAGTAGTATTGTTGTGAGTTTTAGTGGTACTGGTAGTGGTAGTAGTTGTAATAGCCGTAGTAGCAGTACTAGTAGTGGAAGTAGTAGTAGCCGTCGTCGTAGTAAATAATAAGACTGGTAGTAGTAGAAATCGTAGTAGTAATAGTCGTAGTCGTAGTAGTAGTCGTCCATTAGTAGTAGCAGCAGTTGTAGCAGTAGCAGCAGTACTGGTATGAACATTGGTATTCGTATTGTTATTATTAGTACTTAGACTAGGATGAGTGGTAGTATTAGTGGTAATGGTGATCGTTATGCGACAAGTTTTAGCATGGTTGTTGTTATTTGTTATTGGTAGTGGGTTGTAATCTTATGTGTATGGGTATCAATTACTATTGGTAGTATTAGTTGCATTGCTGTTGTTCGTGACATTATGCTTGTCCCTCCTCTTCCTCCTCCTCCCCCTCTCACTGCCATTGTTATGATGAGCAGTCGTACTCTTACTCTGTTTATTAGTCGTATGTTTCTCCTCCTCTTCCTCCGCCTACTACTACTACTACTACTACTACTACTACTACTAATCTTCCTCCTAATCGATACACACTCAATGATGTTCCGTAGCCTGGATGTTGCTCTTCCCCTCCATGTCCAACGCGTTCCCCTATTCCCTACACAGTGCTTGCACCTAGAGGTTCACACATCAAGGTCAATGGGCCCCAGGGCCGCCATCTGTGGCCGCCGCGGTCCGTCGCCGCCACTCCCGCCACATTCACGTTGCGCTGCTTCGCATTGCTTTGCATTGCCTTGAAATGCCTTGCACTGCGCTGCATCGAGTTGCACCACTTTGCGTCGCCGCGCATGGCTTTACATCGCGTTGCATTGTCTTTGCATGGTCTTTGCATCGCCTTGCATTGCCTTGCCTTGCTCTGCGTCGCATAACTGCATTGTCTTGCCTTGCTTTGCTCATTGCCTTGCATCGCGTTGCATAACTTTGCATTGCCTTACATTGCGTTGTTTTACTGAGCATCGCTGTGCATCGCACCGCATTACTTTGAACTGATTTGCATTGCCTTGCATCGCGTTGCAGAGATGTGCACCGCTCCGAATTACCTTGCATCATGTCGTTTCAATGTGCATTGTGTTGCATCGCGTTGCATGATTTGGACTTGGTCTGCAGTGCTTCGCATTGCCCTGGAGTGCCTTGCGTTGCCTTGCATCGCTGTGCATCGCTTCATCTACCTTTGCAGTGCCTTGCATCGCTTTGCATTGCCTTGCATCGCCTTGTTGCGTTGCTTTGCATTGCTTTGCACCGCATTGTTTGGGGTCGGCGCTGGCCAACAGGAAACGCCGAACTCTGTTGCCGAAGCAGGGCAGACGGCCTCCATCTGGACCCCACCAGCGCGCGGGTCAGGCAGAGAGAGGAAGGGAGGAGGCTCTGCAGGGAGACGACGACGACGACGACGACGACGACGACGACGACGACGACGGCGACGACGACGACGAATACGACGACGGCGACGCCGACGACGCCGACGGCGACGGCGACGGCGGAGGCGGAGGCGGCGGCGGCAACTGCGACGACGACGACGACGACGACGACGGCGACGACGGTGACGCCGACAGTGGCAGCGAGGCTCCTCGTCGGCCTCGGCCCCCGGCGCCTGAAGCGGGACCACGTCCGCGGTCGCCTCCCCCGCAGCTGCGGCGACCGCGGCTCTCTGGTGCCCGCGCGGTCTGCGAGAGGCTCGTTCGGCTCGGCTCGGCTCGGCTGGCTTGGCTCGGCCCATCTCGACTCGCCCCGCTCATTCTCTCTCTTTCTGCGTGCACCGTCGTTCGTTCATTCGGCTCGTTTGCTCGTCGTTCGTTCGTTCGCTCTGCATGTCCTGCTGATGATTATTTCGCTTTTGGGGGCACCACCTGTGCCAGCTTACGCTGTGGGGCAATGTTCCCGTATGTTTACATGGTAAGCGTGCAGGAACTAGTTCCACCAATCAAAACGTTGGGCGCACGCTACTGCAATCGACGCAGCAGGCTATTGCAACCGATGCGGTGCAATCTATATGGTGCAGTGTATGCGATGCAGCCTATGTGGTGCAATATGTGGTGCAAGCTACGCGGTGCAATCTATGTGGCGCGATCTACGCGGTGCATCCGCTGTAGTGCAATGTATGCGGTGTTACCTATGTGGTACAATCTGTGTGGTGCAACCTACGCGGTGCAGCCTAGGAAATACAATATATGCGGCACAATCTACGTGGTGCAATGTACGTGATGCAGATTACGTCATGCACTATACGCGGTGCAATACATGCGGTGCAATCTACGTGATATCTACGCGGTGCAACCTATGGAATACAGTGTACGTGGTGCAACCTATGTGGTGCAATCTACGCTGTGCAATCTATGCAATGCATTTTACGCGCTGCAATATATGTGGTTCAATCTATGTGGCGCACTCGATTTTATCAAACGAGTTAACACGCCCCGCGCGCTTGCAAACATCCCACCCACCCACCCGCAACTTGGTTTGCAAAACCCATAAGGTGGCGATTGCGATGCATGCTCGGCGTTGGTTGGTGCGTCTCTGCGACCGCGCCAATTCAAGCACGCGCGCGCAGCGGCCAGCTGGTCTGGCGCGACCGACGCGGCCGCGGTGGCGCTGATGGCTGGGCACTTACAAGCGGGCACTTCATTGCGAGTCGGCGACTTGGGCGGGCGCGGTATCAGGGCAACGCCGACAACGGTAGACGTTGCGGGCAAATGCCCAACGACTTCGACGACGACGACAACGACAACGACGACGACAACACCGACGACGATGACGACGACGACGACGCCGACACTGACGACGACGACGACAACGATAACGCCGACGACGACGACGACGCCGCCGCCGCCGACGACGACGACGACGACGACGACGCCGACGACGACGGCGACGACGAAGACGACGACGACGACGAGGACGTTGCCAACGAAGACGACGACGACGACGACGGGGGAGGAGGGAGGACGACGACGGCGACGACGACAACGACTAGGGAGGAAGGAAGACGACGACGACGACGACGACGACGACGACGACGACGACGACGACGACGACGACGACGGCGACGAAATAGGAGGGGCAACGACGAAACGCCGACGAAGACGACGAGGGAGGAAGGAACACCACGGCGACAACGACGACGGAAACGACGACGACGCCAAGACGACGACGAAGAAAGACAGAGCACGACGACGGCGACGACGACGACGAGGGAGGGAGGAGGACGGCGACGACGACGACGACGACGACGACGACGACGACGCAATAGCGCGCGCGCACGTTTTTGTTGAAAATCCGTGTTGCGAAACCTTGTGTTTTTGTATGTTGTTTGGACACGATTTGGGAACAACACGAAGGATTTTGAAGAAGCTTGGCATGCGCGCGCGACGGCGCGCGTGTCTGCAATTCGTCCCATTCCTTGCAGGTGATTCTCGCGACGGCACGCGCGCAAGGGCGCTCGAAAGAGTTCGACATGCGCGCGCGAAGCCCGTTTGATTGCATGTTCGAAAAGCTTGAAAAAACGCATGGTGTTCGTAAGATTTCCCAAGAGCGCGCGCGTAAGCTTTTTTAGAAAATCAGTGTTGCGAAACCTTGTGCTTGTTGGTTTTTTGGAAATTCGATTTTGAAACCCTTCCGAAACCCCAGGTTTTGGAGGATTTCAGCATGCGCGCGCGACGACGCGCGCGTGAACACTTCGTCCCATTTGTTGCAAGGAATTCTTGAACACTCATGATTACCTAACAGCGAAGACTGATAGGTTTCTAGTAGGGTCAAAAGAGAACATCATGACGCCCCGGGGGGGTCTGGGCGCGATCCGGGGGAGGATGCGGGGGACTTTTTTTTAGCCAACAGTTACACACTTCGTGGTCTTCGAGGTCCCAGAACTCCACTCCTGGGCCACATTCTGAATGCCCAGAGCCAACTGTAGGCCACTTCGTGCTCTTCGAGTTCCCAGAACTCCATTCCCGGGCCACATTTTGAATGCCCAGAGCCAGCTGTACGCCATTTCGTGCTCTTACGAGTTCCCAGAAATCATTCCCCAATCCCGGGCACATTTGAATGCCCGGAGCCAACTGTAGGCCACTTCGTGGTCTTCGAGTTCCCAGAACTCCATTCCTGGGCATGATTTTGAATGCCCGGAGCCAACTGTAGGCCACTTCGTGTTCTTCGAGTTCCCAGAATTCCATTCCCGGGCCACATTTTGAATGATGAGGCAGGCTGAGGCTGAGGCAGGCTGAGGCTGAGGCTTGCTGAGACTGAGGCCGAGGCTGAAGGCAGACTGAGGCTGAGGCTGAAGCAGGCTGAGGCTGAGGCAGGCTGAGGCTGAGGCTGAGGCAGGCTGATGCTGAGGCAGGCTGAGGCTGAGGCTGAGGCTGATGCAGGCTGAGGCTGAGGCAGGGTGAGGCTGAGGCCGAGGCTGCAGGCAGACTGAGGCTGAGGCTGAAGCAGGCTGAGGCTGAGGCTGAGGCAGGCTGAGGCTGAGGCGGAGGCAGGCTGAGGCTGAGGTAGGCTGAGGCTGAGGCTGAGGCTGATGCAGGCTGAGGCTGAGGCAGGACGATGCCTGAGGCAGGCTGAGGGCTGAGGCTGAGGCTGAGGCCTGAGGCAGGCTGAGGTGAGGCTGAGGCTGAGCAGGCTGTGAGCCGAGGCTGAGGCAGGCTGAAGGCTGAGGCTGAAGGCAGGCTGAGGCTGAGGCTGAGGCGGCTGAGGCTGAGGCAGGCTGGGCTGAGGCTGAGGCTGATGCCACTCTGAGGCTGAGGCAGCTGAGCTGAGGCCGAGGCCGAAGCAGACTGACTGAAGCAGACTGAGCTGAGGCTGAAGCAGGCTTGAGGCTGAGCAGAGGCAGGCTGAGGCCTGAGGCTGAGGCAGGCTGATGCTGAGGCAGGCTGAGGCTGAGGCTGAGGCTGAGGCTGATGCAGGCTGAGGCTGAGGCAGGCTGAGGCTGAGGCCGAGGCTGAAGGCAGACTGAGGCTGAGGCTGAAGCAGGCTGAGCTGAGGCTGAGGCAGGCTGAGGCTGAGGCTGAGGCAGGCTGATGCTGAGGCAGGCTGAGGCTGAGGCTGAGGCTGATGCAGGCTGAGGCTGAGGCAGGCTGAGGCTGAGGCCGAGGCTGAAGGCAGACTGAGGCTGAGGCTGAAGCAGGCTTAGGCTGAGGCTGAGGCAGGCTGAGGCTGAGGCAGGCTGAGGCTGAGGCTGAGGCAGGCTGATGCTGAGGCAGGCTGAGGCTGAGCCTGAGGCTGAGGCAGGCTGAGGCTGAGGCCAAGGCTGAAGGCAGATTGGGGCTGAGGCTGAAGCAGGCTGAGGCAGAGGCAGGCTGAGGCTGAGACTGAGGCAGGCTGAGGCTGAGGCAGGCTGAGGCTGAGGCTGAGGCTGATGCAGGCTGAGGCTGAGGCAGGCAGGCTGAGGCCGAGGCTGAAGGCAGACTGAGGCTGAGGCTGCAAGGCTGAGGCTGAGGCAGGCTGAGGCTGAGGCAGGCTGAGGCTGAGGCTGAGGCAGGCTGATGCTGAGGCAGGCTGAGGCTGAGGCTGAGGCTGATGCAGGCTGAGGCTGAGGCAGGCTGAGGCTGAGGCCGAGGCTGAAGGCAGACTGAGGCTGAGGCTGAAGCAGGCTGAGGCTGAGGCTGAGGCAGGCTGAGGCTGAGGCAGGCTGAGGCTGAGGCTGAGGCAGGCTGAGGCTGAGGCTGTGTCTGTGACTGCCGTTGCCACTGCGACTGTCATCGCGAATGCGACTACGACTGCGAGAACAGCACAATTCTACAACTGGATTCTCATCTGAATCTCAAGGGGAATGCTTCCAAATATGCTCCTACACATCGCTGTTAGGTTGCGTTGCCGGGATAATTTTTGATAAACGAATGCGCGCGCATTTGCAGAGGATGGCGAGGGGGCGATACGGGTTTGGCTGGGACAATACAAATTCACATTTAGGATGGACGATGTGGCAGAATCATACGTAAATTGCAATACGAAAAGGTGGCCCGTTAACTCTGGGGGGGTTGAGTCTATTCTTCTTTTCACAAGGAGAACCTATGTGGTGCTACCTATGCGACGTCGACGGCGGCGACGGGCGGCACCGCCCGCAAAAGCCGCCACTCGCCCCGAGCGGCACGGCGACGGCGACGGCGACGGCGACGACGGGCGGCGCCGCCCGCAAAAGTCGCCTTTCACCCCGAGATGGTAAGCCAAGTAATAACCCTTAAGTGCAAGCACTGTTTGGGCAACAATTGACGGACAGGACAGCAAGCGGCCTCTGATTGTTGCTGCAATCCTCGAGCAGGAGCAGAGACAGGAGGGCGCACAATCGGGAGGGCGGAGACAGAGGGCGGGGGGCAGGGGGCGAGAGGAGGAGCAACACTCATATGATGAATCATATGCGCAAAACCCGGGCCCACGCATACTTCACGAACGCGCACTTGCAAGGACAGCCCGCATCTGGCAAACGCGTGGGACAAAAACTCCGTGAAGCCAGAAGAACTGTTGCTTGGCTGTCGAAGCTGTTGATGTGGCACAAGCTAAGCTACCTAACACGCTATCGGATTGGACGGGGCCTTTCTTATTAACCAAATACCAACGGCTTCTTATCCCCGGCACTTCTCCAAATAAATTTCGTAAGGCGCATGGACTGCCTTGCGGGGATATGTCGTCCAGAGTTTCGCCCAGCGACACGTGTGTAGGAGGTACACAACCAAGTACCCACCGTTCCAACCACTACCAGTGTCTGGCGACCAAGTTCCTCGAAGCACTGGACACCACTCATTGGCAATGTCCAACGGTGTGTTCCCTCTGCTGTCTCTAAGTTCACAGCTTGCGCTTCCTAAGATCAGTTTACGCATGGTGTGCTCGTCGCAATTTCGAGCCGCCACATGTAGGGGAGTGCGGCCACCAATCAGGGAGCGCCCATAGTTCTGCGCATTCACATTGGCACCGAAGTCGATCAATACTGTAACAGGATCATACAACACCAACCTTTCAAAATCGCTCATCGTGCGGATCCAAGAGCTTCGGTGAGCAAAATGAAGTGGTGCCCAGCCATCGCCATCCTGTAGGTTCACGTCCGCACAGCCAGTTGCAATAAGCTCCCACACCAACTGTCCACTAGACACCTTGCACGCCCAGTGCAGCACGCTACTGTCGCACCCGCTCTTGCACCCACGATGGTCAGGACTCCTCCAACTTGAATGCATTCCGAGTGACGCGAGCTCTTGGGAGTTCGAGAAGGCCCGGAACAAAGACACAATCACCCATTCATAAGCAGGCTTCCAGTCATAGAGGAGATCTCTAAACAAGCTCTGGTCATCTTGTGTAGCGCGCGGTCTCTCTGAGGCTTTCGGGAGCTAGTGCCGCCGACACCACTAGCACCGTCATCGCTGCCCGCACGGCCACCGCCGATCCCACTGCCACGGTCACCATCATCACCTGGTGTTGGTGTTGGTGTTGGTGTTGGTGGCGGTGGCGGTGGTACTTCGCCGCTGAGCCCATTCCCGCGAAAGTCTTCACCTCCACCACCCACTGCGTAGCTGCCGGCACCGCCATCACAACCCATTTCGCTGCCAATCACATGCTGAATTCTGCTGGAACTCACTGTTGTGGCCTGCTCCGAGTCGTGGAGCGCACTCTTCACAGCCTGTAGCGACACGACCCAATCCGTCTGCTCTGTTCTGTCTTCCAATATCGCCCCAGGCTCTGCGCCTGAAATGGTGCGGTGCTTCACCGCTTTAATGAAGTTTTGGAGCCTGTCTGCACGCAGGGCCAACTCCCGTGTCACGTCGCCCTTGCTCGTGGTAAGCTTAGAAATCATATGCTCCAAAGGATCCTTGGTCAACCCATCGTGCACGGCCACTACCGATGCCAGACTGAAGGACTTCTTCCGCTCATTCTGAGCCGCTGCATAGTCGTTCAGAATGTCTGCCTTGCTCGCTGTCGAAAAATAGTGATCCAGCGTTGCAGAATCGAACTCCGACGCCCCAGTTCCAATAGAAACTTGCCCTTGCCGCCCCAAAAACCGACGAGCGCGGAGGTCCGAGAGGAAAACTTCGGCGGCCTGCTCGGGGCCCGTGTGAGAGATCCGCCGCGCGAGCTCCTTCCGGCGCCATGCGGACCGTGCCAGTCTCTTCGTGACACTTCGTGCTGGATTCTCCCAGGTCTCCACCAAGTCTCTGCACTGTGCGATGAAGATCGTCGGCGTGCTGCCTCGCTGAGCGCTCCCGTCTCTCGCGGAACGCCGTCTCCTGTCTGCCTGTCACGGCTTGCAGCGTGCTAAGTCGCGCCGTGGCCCTCTCATACACATCACTTCATGGTCCTGCATAATGCCCTCCTCCAAACGAATCCTTGTCGCCGCTGCCACCCCCAGAATTGCCGAGCCTCTCCACGCTGCGGTCGAGCGCGCGGTCGTGTTCCCTGCCCGATCGTTCCATCCTTTCCTTGAAATCTCTCACACCCGAGGAGCGATCGATTGCCTTCCCGATTGCTTCGCGATTCACACCTGCCTGCACCGAGATGAACATAAACTGCGGGAGGCAGATGAGGCAGATGAATATTGCCATCGCCAACCAAATCCAAGCCGCGAACAAAAGATATAGGATAGCTCCGGGCGCCTCAGACCCCTATCACAGACAGGTGATAGGCCTTAGCCAAGCTGGCTTGCGCCAAAATGACTACGGACAGGGGGGGAAGAAGAAGGAGGAGGAGGAGGAGGAGGAGGAGGAGGAGGAGGAGTAGAGCCAGAGTAACCAAAATCAGTATGCCTCAACGATCAGAGTGCACCAATCCCCTCCTCATCAGTCTCTTCAAGTTTCTGTGATTGCGGTACACGCTACCCTTTGAAAGACGAGCGCCCCCTGGGCTGGGATTTCAGGCGGGAACTCCGTGCGGAGAGGAGCTGCCCTCCGTCACTCGAGCTGTGAAGAGTGCGTCGAGGTGGAGTCATACAATGCAAGGAAATGCCCAAAGACAGCCTCACTTCGAAAAGAAGCTACCCTCCATCCGTGCAATTATTGTGCGAGTTGAGGCTCCTGGTCATAACATCCAACGGCATACCAAGTGAGAACACCTTCTGATAAGAAAACCGCCCTCCATCTGTAACACACTGTCAAAACAAAACTATCAGGCGAAGAACCTGTGCTTGAGAAGAAGCACCACTGAACCGTGTACTTTCTGGAATGCGTGAGGACGAATATACGCGGCGTCAGGGCGAGAGTCGCATGTTGGAAACTATTCGCTTCTGACCGTGTGATTGTTGGAATGTTCAACAAGAATAACAAGGATTCGCCCCCCATCCGTGCAACTATTTGAAAATTGTGAGGCGAGTGTGCGCGGCACCAAGGCGACAGCCCCTTTTGAAAACGATCCGCCACCCATCTGTGTGACTGCTGACTGCTGAGCTGTTCAAGATGAACAGCGCGCGGCGCCAAGGCGAAGGCCCGACTCTGAATACGGCCGCCCTCCATCCGGTTTAACTGTTGGAAGGTTCTAGCTTCAGTATCGCGAACGGTGAAGAAGCCTCGGGCGAAACACTTCGCCCGCACCAACAACACGCGTTTGGTGCTGCGACCTTGCCATCGCTCGAACGCCCAGTCCCCGTGCAATTGTCGGTTTCGTGCGCCTATTTTTCGCCAGGTGACACAGTATGCTCCTCGATGGTCCTCAACGAGGAAAAATGCACACGTCCGAGCGATGCCAAGCGACAGGGAGTCGTTACTTGATCAGGAAGAGGGACGGGGCGGCAGCAGCATCAAGAGGCAGGAGAGGAAGGAAGGAGGAGCAGAAGCAGGAGCAGGAGGAGCAGAATAAAAGAGGGGAGGGAAGGAAGAGGCGGAGAAAGAGGAGGAGGAGCAGGAGGAGGAGAAGAAGGGGGGGGGGGCTCAACGACTCCTCACGCCATCAGGAATCAGGAATCAGGTGGAGAAAGAGAGAGGGAGGGGAGGGAGGGAGTGATGGTGCCTTGGGCGGAGCACAGCCCAGGCTGCTCGAGGCACGCTGCGACAGAGTGCGCAGCGCCGCCCCGGCGTGGGCCAGCGCGCATCCGCGGAAGTAACACCCTCCACGAGTCGAGGAATCCGCCGACACGCGGCAGCCAGGCATCCCTTGGCACTGAAACGGCATGCGCGTCTGCCTCGTGCAGGGGCCGTGGGGCCCGACGGACCCGGAGTCCGCCGACCCCCGCTTTTGCCCGGGGGTGGGCAGGCGTGCGAGCGGGCTGCCCCCAATCCCCGAGACCCAGACTGCCGCTCGAGGGGAGGGCGGAGAGCGGCGACGAGCTCGCCAACGCGTCTTTCTGGGCCCTCAGAGGCTCTGAGGGCCCAGAAAGACGCGCTATCTCGGAAGGCTCTGAGCCTTCCGAGATAGCCCGCCGGCCTCCCCAAAGTCCCCTACGTTGATCCACATTGCACAAGTGGTCCCCAAGTTGACACCCGAAGCGGGCACGGAAAAAAACAAGCATGATGCTCAAGAGCAGATGTTGTCCAAAACCGACAGCGGCCGCCGTTGGGCAGGCGACATCTGTCTCAAATGACCCGCGTCCGCTGCTGCACCGACAACGAGCCCTATTCAAAATGAACAGGATCTGCTGCCGGTCTTCGTGCCCACTCGTTCCGTACCCATCTCGATCGTACCGACCAAGATGGCCAAAGTTGGCACTGGAGTCCGCCCCAGGGGTCCCAAGATGGCACCAAGATGACAACAAGAGGCAATCGGAGGCACCCAGAAGGCTCCGCGGAGGGCCTCCGACGCTGCCAGAACAGCTCAGGCTTCGCGACTAAAACACAGATGGGGCAGGGACGGTCTTGGTCGCTTGATGCGGCCTGGCAGCCTCGGCGGCGACGACAATGACGACGATCTAGGAATTTCGCCATCGCTCGGACGTGCATTCCCAGTGCATTTTTCGGCTTCGCCCGTCGTTTTCGCAAGATGGCCCGAAATGCTCCTCGATGGTCCTCGCCGAGAAAATGCACTCGTCCGAGCGATGCCAAGGAATATGTCTTAATCGTCCACTTCCCAGCGGGACACTGCGAGCCCCCCCGCCAGCGTGGCATTTCTGGGTTCCCCAAACAATGCTTTCCCTCAGGAGTTCTTACTTGAACGACGATGAAGAGAGGGTCTTACGCGAGGTGGCGTAGCGAACTTACGCGGTGGCCTACGCGGGCCGCCAGCGCGGCACGCGATTTTAGAGAAGAATGCGCTCACGCGCGACCTTTCGCGGGCAACTTACGCGCCTGTTTCAAACAACTGGGCTCGTGTCGCCACGACCGGCTTGTTCTCGCCCCCGTCGCCGCCCCGTCGCCGCTCTTCGCCGCCCGTCGCCGCCTCGTCGCGGGCCCGTGTGCTGCCCCGGCCGGCTTGCTGTCGTCCCTCTCTTTCTATGTTCTTTGTTGTTGTTTCTCTCTCTCTCTCTCTCTATCTCTTCTCTCTCTCTCTCTATCCCTCTCTCTCGCTCTCTCTGTCTCCCTCTCTCTCTTTCTCTCTCGCACCTCGCACCACATGGAGTGTACCACATAGAAAATACTGCGTAGCTCACGCCCCGTAGGTCGGACCACATATACTGGTCCACATGGCTTACACCACATAGCTCACACCACCTAGATAAGCACACTGGCTCCACATAGCCTGCACCGCATAGCTTACACGCATCAGCTCACACAACATAGATTGCACTGCAGTATATGTATAAATGTGTGTGTTGCACCACCTAGATTGCACGACATAGCTTACAACACAAAGAAAACACCACATATATGGCACGACATAATTCACACCACCTATACCTCACCACATGTATTGCACCACGTACACATCACCACGTAGCTTGCACCACATAGCTTGCACCACATAGCTGTCACCACTCAGCTTGCACCACGTGGAATGCATCACCTGATATGCTAGAAATCACTGTTTGGAGTCCACGCTGGCCAACAGACTCGCCTGGTCGCCGAGGTAAACGCATCCTGTACTCGGGCAGCAAAAGCAGGCCGTCAGTGGTGCGACAGCGCCTGGAAAGTGCGGATGCGCTGCTCGGCAGCGAGCGAGGGGGGAAATGAGAAGGAGAAGGTCTTCCCAGAAGGCGGCGGGACTTCTCAAAGCGCTCCAGCCTTCTGAGACGTTGTTGGCGTATTCGGAGAAAGCTTAAAAAACTTATGAGAAGGCCGGGGGACTTCCGAGCCTTCTGAGAAGGCCCGCCCCTTCTCACTTCCCCCCTGGGCTTGCCGCCGAGCTGCGCATCTGTTGCATTCGCTGCGCTTCGGCTCGACATGGCCCCGCAACCGGCTCCAGAGACGCCAGAGCGAGTACAGCGGGCCCCCAGGAAGTCCCGAAACAGGCCAAGATGCCTCCCCCTCGTGGTCAGAACATGGCACCAAGATTGCCCCAGAGATTCACAGCTTGCCTCCAGGATGGTTCAGGACAACTGCCAGACGGCCCAAGACCGCCCCAAACCCCAAAGCGGCCAGAGACAATGAACCCCGGCGGATTGAAGAACCCCCAAGACTGCCCCAAGACTTCTGTTGCTCCCATCGCACTTGAAGACCACATCCCAGAATTAATTTCGAGCACCCGGAAAAGTGTCGAAAGAGTGTCGAAACTGTGTCGAAACAGTGTCGGGCGAATGTCGCCCAGGGCCCGACACGTGAAAACCCGTATGTTTTGTGCTCGATTTGTTTCTGGCGGTCAAGGCTAAAGCAGGTTGGAACATCATAACCCAAGAGCCTCAGTGACGCCAAGGTGGCCACGACAGCCAGAACGAGCGCCACGGGAGAGGCCCCGAGCTGCCCGCGAAAGCCCAAACTGATCCCGGCAGGGCCCTGAGAC